TGGAATCATACAGTGTCTTTTGTGATTAGATTATTTCACCTAGCATATCTTCAAGGTTCATTTGGCTTGCAGTATGGGTGAGAATGTCTTTCCTTTTTAAGGTTGAATAATATTACACTGGCCTTCCCTTGTGGCTCAGATGGTAAAGAATCCGCCTGCAATGCAGGAGACCAGGGTTCGATCCCTGGATCAGGAAGATCCCCTGGAGAAGGGAATGGCAACCCACTCCAGTATTCTTTCCTGGAGAATTCCATGGACAGAAGAGCCTGGCGGGCTACATCCATGGGGTCTCAAAGAGTTGGACATGACTGAGCGACTAACACGTTCACTAACTTTCAATATTACTTTGTCTGTCTATACTACCTTTTGTCTATCCATTCATCCATAGATGTATGCTTGAGTTGCTTCCACTTTTAGCTATTGTGAATAATACTGCTGTGAACAAGAGTGAACAAATAAATCTTTAAGAATTTGTTTCCAATTCTTTTGGCTCTGTATCCAGAATTTGAATTTCTGCATCCTATGATAACTGGATTTTGATTTCTTGAGGTACCTCCATACTGTTTTGCATAAGTGTGGCTCATCTGGTAAAGAATCTGCCTGCAGCGCTGGAGACCTGGGTTCAGTCCCTGGGTTGGGAAGATCCCCTGGAGAAGGGAAAGGCTACCCACTCCAGTATTCTGGCCTGGAGAATTCCATGGACTGTACAGTCCATGGGGTGGCAGCGTCGGGCACTACTGAGCGACTTTCACTCACTGCACCACTTAACATTCCCACCAACAGTGCTCTAGGGTTCTGATTTCTTCATATCCTTTCTCACACTTAATATTTTATGGGTTTTTTGATAGTAGTCATCCTAATAGATGTGGGGTAATATCTCATTGTGGTTTTGATTTGCATTTTGCTAATGACTAGTGATATTGAGATCTTCTCATATGTTTGTTGGTACAAAATGCTGTTAAATACTAATATACTTCTTTACTTTGAGAAGATGAAAGCTCCTCTCTCCCACATTAATATTGAGAGAAATTCTGGTAAACTTTAATAAGGTACAATGCTATTAAACATTACTGAAAATTCAAAATATTGAAATACCAACATTCTGCTAGAGTTTCCCAGTTAGTCAAGAACATGACTTAAAAAAAGAACCCTCTAATATTGGTTATTCTTTCATCCCATGTTTTAACACATATTAAATTTTCTTATCTTAGAAATTCTCTTGAGCAGCTGTGAGCTTCTATTTTTCAAAGATTTTATTACCAGTCACCAGAAGAATGCTCATCCTCCCTCTCTCATGAGATGGAAATAAGAGATACACATGTTGTCATAGGGACAAAATTTATGTTATCCAGAAGCTCCAGTGAGCTATTTCTCTTATCAAAGTCTCTGTGGTTTCTGTACTATTATACTTAGGTTTATTTACTCAACGGTATTTACTTAATACATGTCCTGTGTTAGATACTGGCCACTCAGAGATAAAATGGTACAGTGTCTGTCCTGAAAGATCTCACAGACTGGTGGTAAGAGCAAACGAGACAGTTAGCAAGTTTAATATAGAACAGCATCTTTTGCCACTGAGAACAATCTGCATCTTATGGGAGGATCTTATGGGAGGATCAAGGAAATCAGTTGGGTGAAGCCCAGAATTTAGTGCGGGAGGGGTTGTGAAAAGTGGAGTCGGAGAATGAGGTGAATATAAGGGCAATTTAGAAATATTTTAGGATATCAAAAAATAACTGAAGTTTTCCTACAAATGTTTTGAAGTTTCTCTTGTCCTTCCATTTTTAGTTGATTATTTCAACCCATTTACAAATATTTTAGGAAGTTCCTTGAATGGATAGATATGAAAACTACAAATACCTTATTGGTTTATTGCTTAAATTTTATGCAAGTACAAACGAATGGTGATGCTTTAACTTTCTGGTTTTACAGCCCTGACCTTACAAGGTCATTTTGTACATAATTTGTTTTACATTAAATTTGTATTTCATTTTTGCACTGAAGTAGGTAAATTTATAGTTCATAAAACAGTTTCATGTCTTGTGAAACATTTTAAGGTCTTCTTTTATTCATCTTTACCTCACTACCAAGGCACTGCTTTCCCTGGGATCTTATAGTCTCAAGTTTAAATTTAAAAACATCTATTAAAAGTCTTGATCTAGAGACAAGGACGTCTCCATGATATTTGAGTTCATGGCTGACTTTAACTTAGCAGTGAAGGTGAAGATGTTATTTCAAGTAACATTTGTGCTTGGGTTAAGAAAGCTCTGAGTGAGAAGTGTTTTTGGGGTTCTGATAACTTTGAATGGAATTACTATCAAATAATTTCAGATTTGACATTGTCTCTTGAGATCATTAAGCACATTTCTCTCTTTCTACATGTGAGCACATTGAGATGCGCAGAACTAAGGTATTTGACCAAAAAAATATAGTTAGTGTAACAAATGACAAAATGAGCAGACACTTAGCCTCTCTGGATTAGTTTCAATTATTGATATAAATATTCTGCCCTCTCTGGACAACCTGCTGAAAGTTGATGATTTAAAAAGAAAAGTATTTGTTTTGCATAAGTCTGCTTTCACCTCCTACATGTGTACTTTGCCTGCTGCTGTCCTAAATAAAGAGACGACTCATCTCAAATCTTATTTGACTTGAAGGACTTAGATAAGTGGAAATGCATGTAATGAAATAGAAGGAAATGGATACGGAGACAAAGACTGGTCACAGAACAAATAGAAACATGAAAGAAGTCTCTTTTTTTTTGAGCTATGCTTTTTAAATGTCACTGCTATCTCCTCTTTGTAATGGCAGCTGTGTCTTGTCCTCCTGCTACACAATTGTAGTTTGAGGATAGTCCTCCTCTTAGCAGTCTGAATTTTAGGGAAATGGGAGGAAAGATTTTGGTCTTCAGTTCTCTGCTTTCATTTCTGCTGGGATGTGTATCAGTGATGGGATCTCTTTACCCACCCTGTCTCTATATTCTCTCTTGTAAATCTATTTTATTGAAAGGTTTATCAGATATTTTTTAAATGTTCATCTTTGAAGGAAGGCTGTGGACTTTTGTTTTAATTAATAAAAGAAGCTAATGTGTACTGAGTATTTGATGTCTGATGGGTGGTGGTAGACTTTGTGAGAGTCCATTCTCTGATTTAATCCTAGCAATACGTCTATGAAGTTACTGTTAGTAGACTGACAAGGCCTCACAATTTACTAGTAACAGGCACAGAACCAAAGTTGAACCTGGGACTTTTACCCTCTAAATCTATGGAGGCTACTGTGCTAAGTACCTTGTCCTCCAAAGTTCAGCACACAGTGTTTTCTGCATGGTGAAAAATTAATTACAGTCAAAAATTAAGAAATACACATTTCCACAGTAGAAGAATAAATACAACCCTAAACATTAATTTGCTAATTCTTTTTCACCATGTAGGATATAATTTGATAATCAATCTTACATACTCTATGTGTTACACAAATGTTTCCAACCTTCTTAAATTATTAACTTTGACCCCTGTGACATTCAGAAAACATATAAATGGAAAAATGCAATAATATTATCAGTAACCCTTTCTGTGTAATATGGTGAACTGAGGGAAATGTGATGAGTTACTTTTATTTGGAAAAACATGTTACTCTGTTTTGACTCAAGGGTGTTGATACTTTTGGTGTTAGCCTGGATTTGTTTTCTTTTGATCATGCAATTACTGCATTCATTTTCCTTAGTCCTTAGAGAAGGAAAAACATCCCAATTGCCAAATGCTAATGACGTGTTTATAGGGTCTTAAAGCGTACATCTCATTATGTTTCTGTTTTTCAGCTGAGAAAAGTTTATGAAGTCAGCATTTGTTTCTCTTGGAGGAATTTTGCTTGTATATTTTAAAGATACATTTACCGTCTCCCTCAGGTGATTTGTACCAGTATCTGTCCTTCATCATTAGAGCAACAGAAGTTTTTCCCTTTGCGGTCTTACACAGCTTAGATAAATTTAGTCTGTTCTTCCAAAAATATTAATAGTATACCTGCTGCATGTTTTTTCTGAAAATATTTTTTGTTCTTCATTTTTGAAAGTGTATGCTTACTCAGAGACAGTTTATGAATCAATATGAGGTTTATTTCATACTTTTTAAAAAGTTTGACTTGAGCCTTGGTGTTAAGCATCCTGAAGATATCCTGGTTGTGATTGTTTTAATATTTAAGCAAATAATAATAGCTATTTGTGTTTCTGTGAAGACATAAACCTAACATCTTGCCCATTTTTGTAATGAGGCCCCATTCTCTCCAGTCACACGAAGCCTGAATTGAAAATTTCAGGACACTGAGATTTTCTTAGATTCTTCTCTGGTTGTCTAGAGCTCCCACACCATGAAGAAGAAGAAGCAATTTTGATGTAGTTATCTTTGTTCTCATACATGCAGCAAAGGGATGACAATAAAAGCTTAGACTTGAATTTCATATTTTACAGTAACTTTCTTCTGATTTGGCAACTCTCTTGTTGGTAAGTTCTAACTCCTTTTAAAGAAAAGGACACAAAAATTCAAAGTGAGTTGCACGTCCTAGTTTACCTAGATGAAGGGTCCCAAATTCAACTTGGCAGTTTTGACCACAAGCTCTGTGATACTTGCTCTTCACTTTGCATGGTTAGATGCCATGGAATGAAGAAAAATGGAGTAAGCACCTTTAAAATAATTTAAATTGCAAGGTGTTTTGGTATCCCACATTCAATCAGAAGGCTTGTACTACGGTTTTAAATGTATATAATATATATCACATTGTACAATATGTGATAATATATATTTATTATACAATATATCTTACATATATACTCTTTCAGTATATTTTATATATGTCTTAGATGGTCAAATTTTCCTTTTTAAGGAGTTTTTTTGAGTGCGTCAAAGAGAGATAACCTAAAGAGATCTTTCACATTGTTCATTTGGAAATGATAGAGAGACAAACTGAGATTGTCCTTTCAACATATGAATCCTTTGCTTTGTTCACAGCTGCAAACATTTTTTGAGACATTCCTGAGAGCCAGTTCACCTCTTCAGGCTTTTGATAACATGAAGGAAGCCATTAGCAAACTCCTACTAGCAGCTGAAGTATTCAGTGAAACATCTACTCTGGGACCAAAGATCTTCCATAGGTAAAAGCAAATTTTAATGTTAAAAAAAACACAACCCTACCTTCTAAAAATTGATTGTTAATGAAATGTATCTTAATGATCACAAGTAGGTGCTACTTGGAAATTTTTATATAGTATAAAGTATGAACTTCTAAACTGATGTTTTGTAATTTGTAGACCCTATAAGTTCAGAGTATGTTAAAGACTCACAGTACTTAAACAGTGGTGACAAAAAATAAAGCACAGTTAATATTTAAATTATTTTTAAAATTGTAATCCCTTTCAAGCTCACCTAGTTTATCATATATGCTTTCCATTGACTAATTATATTTTGATTTATATGCTTTTATTAACAATATTCAATAACTCTTATCTCTACATTTTATCCAGTTTACTTGAATATAATTTAAGGCCTTTTTCTAGGGAAATGTTAAATTTAGTATGTTAAGAAAAGGAGATACCTCCATGTAAGTTTTATCATGCTTTCTATGTGAATAAGAATGCTTAGCATGAAGAAGTAGGAGAGGTTCCTTTCCCACATTGTGTGTTCATGGAGTCAACTTCATTGTTTCATTTAATGTGTTATGAATACTTTTTATATGTCTGTATTTTCTGTAGGTAATGAAACAGGCTCCAAATCCAAAGATAAATTGTATTTAATTTTAGATTATCTGAGCCACTGCTCTTTGTAATCAGTTTAGATGTTGAAATTTAACCCCAGTGATAAGTAATGATATAGTACCAAATAGTAGAGTAAACATAGCGAAGATAACGTGTCTTGTTACCGTCTGTTGTTTTTATTTTATTTTTATCAGAGCACAGTTGCTTTACAATGTTGTTAGTTTCTGCTATGCAGCAAAGTCAGTCAGCTGCACGTATGCATATGTCCACTCTTTTTTAGATTTCCTTCCTGTTTAGGTACCACAGAACGTTGAGTGCTATACTGTAGGTTCTCATTAATTATCCATTTATACATAGTTATATATATATATATGTCAATCCCAAACCCCCAATTCATCCCACCCCTCTTGGTAACCACGAGTTTGTTGTCTCCATCTGTGACTCCCTCTGCTTTGCAGATAAGTTCATCTCTACCATCTTTCTAGATTCCACATGTAAGTGACACTATACGGTATTTGTCTTTCTGACTTATTTCACTCTGCCTGGCAAGCTCTAGGTCCAGCCACCTCTCTGCAAAAGGCACTATTTCGTTCCTTTTTATTGTCACCTTGTGTTTTTATTTCAGATGCAGATTATGTTTTCAACTTTTAACCTTTGATATTGGTTACGGCAGTGTCAGGTCCCCTGTAGTACTTCAGGTGAGTATGCCAGAGTGCTCACGGAGCTTTCCTTTTGGCTGAAGTGTGTGTGTGTGTGTGTGTGTGTGCGCGTGTGTGTGTGTGGTGGTGTTGTTTTCATTCATAGTAACCAATCAATAAGTGCAACATGCGTCAAACTTACAACATCAAACTTACATTTGTGCTTCCTTGGTAGCTCAGAGGGTAGACTCTGCCTTCAATGCAGGTGGCACAAGTGATGGGGGTTTGTTTGATCCCTGGGTTGGGAAGATCCCCTGGAAAAGGGAATGGCAACCTGTGCCAGTATTCTTGCTGTGGTTCAAAGAATTAACTAGTATATGGAGAGTCTATGATTTGAGTTACAGCACCTACTCTACTTTCCTGTTGAACAAGCACACATTTTTTTTTTCCATTTATTTTTATTAGTTGGAGGCTAATTACTTTACAACATTGCAGTGGTTTTTGTCATACAATGAAATGAATTAGCCATGGATTTACATGTATTCCCCATCCCCGTCCCCCCTCCCACCTCCCTCTCCGCCCTATCCCTCTGGGTCTTCCCAGTGCACCAGGCCCGAGCACTTGTCTCATGCATCCAACCTGGGCTGGTGATCTGTTTCACCCTAGATATACATGTTTCAATGCTGTTCTCTTGAAACATCCCACCCTCACCTTCTCCCACAGAGTCCACAAGTCTGTTCTATACATCTGAGTCTCTTTTTCTGTTTTGCATATAGGGTTATCGTTACCATCTTTCTAAATTCCATATATATGTGTTAGTATACTGTAATGTTCTTTATCTTTCTGGTTTACTTCACTCTGTATAATGGGCTCCAGTTTCATCCATCTCATTAGAACTGATTCAAATGAATTCTTTTTAATGGCTGAGTAATATTCCATGGTGTATATGTACCACAGCTTCCTCATCCATTCGTCTGCTGATGGGCATCTAGGTTGCTTCCATGTCCTGCCTATTATAAACAGTGCTGCGATGAACATTGGGGTGCATGTGTCTCTTTCAGATCTGGTTTCCTCAGTGTGTATGCCTAGAAGTGGTATTGCTGGGTCATATGGCAGTTCTATTTCCAGCTTTTTAAGGAATCTCCACACTGTTTTCCATAGTGGCTGTACTAGTTTGCATTCCCACCAACAGTGTAAGAGGGTTCCCTTTTCTCCATACCCTCTCCAGCATTTATTGCTTGTAGACTTTTGGATAGCAGCCATCCTGACTGGCGTGTAATGGTACCTCATTGTGGTTTTGATTTGCATTTCTCTAATAATGAGTGATGTTGAGCATCTTTTCATGTGTTTTTTTGCCATCCATATGTCTTCCTTGGAGAAATGTCTGTTTAGTTCTTTGGCCCATTTTTTGATTGGGTCATTTATTTTTCTGGAATTGAGCTGGAGGAGTTGCTTGTATATTTTTGAGATTAATCCTTTGTCTGTTGCTTCATTTGCTATTATTTTCTCCCAATCTGAGGGTTGTCTTTTCACCTTGCTTATAGTTTCCTTTGTTGTGCAAAAGCTTTTAAGTTTCATTAGGTCCCATTTGTTTATTTTTGCTTTTGTTTCTAAAATTCTGGGATGTGGGTCATAGAGGATCCTGCTGTGATTTATGTCGGAGAGTGTTTTGCCTATGTTCTCCTCTAGGAGTTTTATAGTTTCTGGTCTTACGTTTAGATCTTTAATCCATTTTGAGTTTATTTTTGTGTATGGTGTTAGAAAGTGTTCTAGTTTTATTCTTTTACAGGTGGTTGACCAGTTTTCCCAGCACCACTTGTTAAAGAGGTTGTCTTTTTTCCATTGTATATCCTTGCCTCCTTTGTCGAAGATAAGGTGACCATAGGTTCGTGGATTTATCTCTGGGCTTTCTATTCTGTTCCATTGATCTATATTTCTGTCTTTGTGCCAGTACCATACTGTCTTGATGACTGTGGCTTTGTAGTATAGTCTGAAGTCAGGCAGGTTGATTCCTCCAGTTCCATTCTTCTTTCTCAAGATTACTTTGGCTAGTCGAGGTTTTTTGTATTTCCATACAAATTGTGAAATTATTTGTTCTAGTTCTGTGAAAAATACCGTTGGTAGTTTGATAGGGATTGCATTCAATCTATAGATTGCTTTGAGTAGTATAGCCATTTTGACAATATTGATTCTTCCAATCCATGAACACGGTATATTTCTCCATCTGTTTGTGTCCTCTTTGATTTCTTTCATCAGTGTTTTATAGTTTTCTATGTATAGGTCTTTTGTTTCTTTAGGTAGATATACTCCTAAGTATTTTATTCTTTTTGTTGCAATGGTGAATGGTATTGTTTCCTTAATTTCTCTTTCTGTTTTCTCATTGTTAGTGTATAGGAATGCAAGAGATTTCTGTGTGTTAATTTTATATCCTGCAACTTTACTGTATTCGTTGATTAGCTCTAGTAATTTTCTGGTAGAGTCTTTAGGGTTTTCTATGTAGAGGATCATGTCATCTGCAAACAGAGAGAGTTTCACTTCTTCTTTTCCTATCTGGATTCCTTTTACTTCTTTTTCTGCTCTGATTGATGTGGCCAACACTTCCAAAACTATGTTGAATAGTAGTGGTGAGAGTGGGCACCCTTGTCTTGTTCCTGATTTCAGGGGAAATGCTTTCAATTTTTCACCATTGAGGGTGATGCTTGCTGTGGGTTTGTCATATATAGCTTTTATTATGTTGAGGTATGTTCCTTCTATTCCTGCTTTCTGGAGAGTTTTAATCATAAATGGATGTTGAATTTTGTCAAAGGCTTTTTCTGCATCTATTGAGATAATCATATGGTTTTTATCTTTCAACTTGTTAATGTGGTGTATTACATTGATTGATTTGCGGATATTAAAGAATCCTTGCATTCCTGGGATAAAGCCCACTTGGTCATGGTGTATGATTTTTTTAATATGTTGTTGGATTCTGTTTGCTAGAATTTTGTTAAGGATTTTTGCATCTATGTTCATCAGTGATATTGGCCTGTAGTTCTCTTTTTTTGTGGCATCTTTGTCTGGTTTTGGAATTAGGGTGATGGTGGCCTCATAGAATGAGTTTGGAAGTTTACCTTCTTCTGCAATTTTCTGGAAGAGTTTGAGTAAGATAGGCAAGCACACATTTTTTTTTTTATGGTTCAGCCACTGTTTATGAAATAAATGTGGCATAAACTGAGTATGTGTTGATGGAAGATAATAGACATCTAGTTAATAAAAAAATAGCAGGTTACCTAGTTTATTCACATGGGTTTATAAAAAAGTTAACTCCTTTATTCTTTACATATAGATATTTAATTTAAAACTGGCCTATATTTTAATTTAATTTTTTTTAGATTTTAATTTTAAACCATAGGAATTTTTGAAATATTTGTTTTCAACATTTGTATGAATATATATAAATTGAAGCATGTTTTTTGTACACTCTGACTCTTACTTCATCTTAAATTAACTCATTCATATCATCTCCTCCAATATATTTTTAATCCAAAATTGCCCTTAGTGGCAATAAGGTTTTAAAAGTTGACTGCATTAGTCTATAGACAGCTAATTTATGATATGGCAAGAGAAACAGAATAAAATTTATGCACACCCTGGAGTAGAAAATGGCAACCCATTCCAGTAGTCTTACCAGGGAAATCACATGGGCAAAGGAGCCTGGCAGGCTACAATCCAGGGTATCACAAAGAGTCAGACGTGATTGAGCAGCTGAGCATACAGCACACACAATTGTGTACATGCAACTTCCATAATATTGTACATAAACTATACTTCAATAAAAAAAGAAAAAAAGTTATGTTCAACAAGAGTTTGACTTCATACTGTATTGACTGGTTTTCAAACTATTACACAAGGAGAATGATTACATTATACGTGATTCAGACATTTGGTCGATTCAAAGATTTATCCCTAAAATTCTAAAATTTTATGAATCTACATCTTTTATTGGTCATTTCTTCATTATTTTACCCACATCGTTTACATATATATAAACCCACAATAATTTACATTATGATTTTTTAAAATTTATTATTTAGAGGTGTTATTATTATTTCCATGAACACAAGTTCATCAATGATATTTTTAAGGTAAACTGATATGATTCTATAAAACAGTAATGTTCTTATGTGCATGCATGCTAAGTCACCTCAGTCATGTCCAGCTCTTTGCTACCCCATGTACCGTGGCCCACCAGGCTCCTCTCTCCAGGGGACTCTCCAGGCAAGACTACTGGAGTGGGTTACCATGCCCTCCTCCAGGGGATCTTCCCGACTCAGGTATCAAACTCGAGTTTCTTAAGTCTCCTGCATTGGCAGGTGGGTTCTTTACCACTAGCACCACCTGGGAATCATATTTTCGAAAGAACAGTGCTTAGATTTTTATAAAATTGTTGACCTCCAAAAGGACCACTAGATGTCAGTTCTGATCTATAATCCAACGGGAAATGAATCATGTCTTAGAAGTGATTTCACTGCATTAAAAATAAGTCAACAAAAAATATTTGCTGTTATTTAACTCTTTCACAGGTGCATGAGCATTTAAATTTTCAAGATGATGATGATATGGATTTTGAGGACCAAAACAGAGAAAAATTTCTTTTAAAAGATACTTTCAACTTTGTCCTGTCTAATGAATCTTCCCTTTCCATATTTTCTGAGATATTTCAGAGACTTTATAGATCAGCTGTAGTTAAGGTAAGTGCATATTTTTTACTGACAAGTATTTTTAATTTATCTTTAGGTATCATTTTCTTTACTGTGCAGTTAAGCAACTTGATAATTCATTTGAAATTGATTTGTATCTATTATATAAACCTCTTAATATTTTTCTGATGTAAGGATCAATATTACTTTTGTGTCTACTAAGTATGTGAATGAATGACTATGATGAAATTATGGGTTGAAAATGAAGTAAATCAGCTCCTAATTCCCAAGAGAATTTTGTTCTTATAATGCATAATGCATGTTACGTATTCTAGAATACTGTTAAGGAATACCTGAACCTTTTGGAAGCAGTTAGTGCTCTAGATTAAAATCAAGGGGCTGAAGTTATAATACTCATTTTTTTTAAAGCAGTTACATCTGGTTAACATTTTTGGTTAGAGGCTGATGATTAGGGAATAGTGCTTCAAAGTAAGAAAGGTTAATTTTTATGATCTGTTAGTACAAGTTTTCTTGATGTATGAAAAAATCTGTACAGATTAGTAATCTAGGTGTAGTATCATTTTCTCTGTATCTTTCTGTTTTAAAACTATAACTAGAAAACTTGGAAAAGTAGAATGTGAAAGGTCTCACCAACAAATGGTGCTCTACAGAGAGATGGTTTTGAGAGTTAAACGTTATAGACTCTTGTCTCCCTAAGATTTTATTGGTTCATTCCTAGAGATCCCTGTTTTCCTTCCTTAGTGAGTGGATTGTCATTAAAATCATTAGAACCACTTGACCCAGAGAAAATAGTAAGATGTGTATCTTTTGCTCTTAGGGATGCATTAGAAAAAATAAACGTGAGGGAAATGGGGATGGGGATAAGTCTGTTTACTGGAATCCGTGAAATGTGAAAATGGTAGTGTGACATACGTGAGGTTAACGTGTAAATTTCCTGCTCTGATTTTGGTACCCTGAAGGCTAAAAAAAGACTTCCTGCCTTTGCAAACCGTCACACTTATTCTGTCCTTCTGGGCCCAACTTCCCAACCTTGCTGCCAAAGCACTACCGAGCTATTTCAGGTTCTTTTGTCAAGCATGAAGTTTTCTTGTATTCTGACATCATTTTAATGAGTTGAAGTTGCTATATTATTTAGAATTAATTAGCTCAGCTGTTAAAGAGTTTAAAATTTGGTTTTTGACTTGTGCTAAACATAGCTTGATTTTGGAACAATTGCTTAAGAGTTGTGTTTTTTGCCCCTGTTATAGGGTGAAAATTATCAAAAAGAACTAAATCGGTGCCTGTCTTTAGAGGAGATTAACTCAATTATGACTTTTATAAAGGAACTCGGGAGTTTGGGACAATTCCAACTGGTAAAGCAAAAGTGACCTTTGATTCCTCTTGATTACTGAGATTGTAGTAGATCAACCATGAGCTACTTGATTTTTGACTTAAAACTAGAAGATATTTCCTTAAGTATTTGTAAGCTTCTTTTTAGAGATATGAAGATTAAGATGAGCAGAATGCATATTCTTTAAGAGTATGCAGATAATACATGACTTACTAAAGGTAAAAGAATGTGGAATAAATATAGCTGGGAGGCTTTGCTAATTCTTAAGGGGGAAATGCTAACATTTTTCTAAAGAAGTTTGCTGTTTGCTTTGGAACATTTACATGTATCCAAAATTTCCTTCTGTTTATTATGCCCCTTTTGTTGTATAAAAGTAAACATTATTCAATAAAATAATAATGTTTTTTAAAACTACCTAAGTTTGTTATAAATCTGTAGCAAACTCCAAAAGAAAAAAAATGTAAATATTAATAATTATAACTTTTACTGGTTTCAGCCTGAAAGTATAAATGGCATTTATTTTATTTTCTATGTATTTTCCTAGATTCTGTTAAGTTATTGATCAATATCAATGGGTAATTTATTACACATATATCTATATGCTTCATACTTGCTTTGTTTCTGGTTCTGCTTTTATATAGATAATTTATATTGGATTCATATTTTTCTATGTAAGATTTGTTTATATAAAGCATTTCTTTAAAGTAGCATTTTTAAAAGTCTACTAATAATTTATTATTAATCTGTTTGGATAAAATATTTGTTTTTTACTTAAAAATTTGTATTCAGATGCTACGTGTATGAATTTTAACCAACTTAATTAGTGAATGTTTGACACTTGCTTTTATTACTTAGCCCCATATTTTAGAGGATTCAAAGTAAGCTTATTACTCAAAAGAGAACTTAGTTGATGGATTATTTTAATTAATTTAAATACAGTAAGTGTTACATTTGCAACAGTTTGGTTCAGTACCATACAAAGATAATCAGAGAGATCTGGCCTCATTCTTCAGGAATTCTTAATTTAAGACATTATTAGGAAAGTAAAGAACTTCTCTTGGCATAATGTGAAGAATAGAAAAATTATTTTATAGGAGAAAGGGTAAACATTAATATCTGACTCTCAGAGTAGAAAGAGGATGACCATAGATTTTTATTTTTGGTCAGATTAATATCTCTCATCCTGACATTTATCAGACACTTATAATCCAAGAGGATTTCATCTTATTTTTCCTGATACCTAACTCTGTCACTTAGCTGTTTTGGGGGTATCTATAGAAAGGAGATAGCTGTTTTCATTCAATGAAAAGAAAAATAAAATTCACCCCATTTGAAAATATAAACATCAGCAAAATTAGTTTCTTATAAAAAGTGGCATTTACATTGACAGCAACACAGAAAATTAAATTACGGTACTGATAATAGATTTTTCAATAAATGCCTAATTAAAATATATGAATAAATATAAAGCCTTCCCAAGTTAATACTATACTTTCTTTTCCGTCACTTAGTCTGATATTCTGCTCTTGAATATTCCTTCTCAGCTTTTCCCATCTACTACTCCTGGATTTCAATCTCTGATTCGTGAATTTTATGGTATGGCAAGTCCTATGGGAAAACCTGGTTCCATCCTGACTCAATACCAGTCTCTTTTAAGTGTATTTGAACAATTTCAGCTCCTGAATAAAAAGGCAGAGCTACACTCGCTGGAATGGTAAGAGAGCCACAAATTTGAATTGTGCAACCCCAAAAATCTCTAAAGATTGATTTCAAAAGGCATTGCCTACATTAAAGAAAGCAACAAAAAGAAGTGTATCCAAAAATTCATGCTCTGGAAAATAAGCTTCTTTAAAACATCGAAACCATAATGATTCTAGTGGTCTTCAAACACTGTAACAAAAATATATCCAACAGTTTTTCAAACCAGCAAGACTTGACTCCACTCAAAAGTCAAGTTTAAAATTAAAAGTTTCAAGCTAGTTTCACCCTGTGATATATATCCCTGAATTTCAGGAGCATCAGACAGAAAGAATTAGGTGAGATTTGTTTTATGAACCGTCAGTCAGAGTGGAGGCCAGGATGGTATGAACATTCATTTAGTTTCTGAGGCATGAGTTTATTCTGGACAAAATATATCCAAATTTATAAATATGTCTGTCTCTACCACAAGATTAGTGTTTTGTTTTTTTTTTTTAAAGATGGAATCTCAGAGAGGAGCATTTGGCCAGGAGGAAACGTCCTTGGCCTCCCCCATCCACTTCCATTCTAATGTGGGGTAGTAATGAGGGAATAAGAGTCTGCTGGTCCAGTGAACATAATAATACCCCCAGTCAGTGGAGGAAGGGGCACTGCCCATGGTGCCAGCTAAGTCTACTTCCCTTTTACATGATGGAATTAAGTAAGTATTTGACTTGTCTATTGCCAGGAAAACAGAAATAAACCCAACCACCTAGAGGGATCAAAGACTAGATGGCCGTGCCATGCTCGTCGGTGTCTCTGAAGTCACCCTCATGAATGGCCTCAATTCTACCGACTTTCCTCTTTCCTTCTGCCTCAGGAGACAGTGAAAACAATCCTAGAGAAACTTTTTTTTTAATAGTTCAAAAATACAAATAATCACATAGCTGAAGAATTCTTAGGACGTCTCCCAGGTCCGGAACTCACTTTAATTGCCACAACTTTATGCAGCTGGCCTTATTCCCTCAATACTCTGAAGTAATAGGATTGATAGAAGGTTTTGTTTGTTTGAAAGTTAGGTTTTAAATAATATAGCTCAATGTCCCTTTGTTTGTTCTTTGCACTCACTCAATCCAAGACTGTCTCATTCATCATTATCGACAGAGAAAGAGCAGACTTGATTTACCAAAAAGTCTATTTAAGTATTGTTTTTTACTTTAAGTAAGTTAAGTTCCTTTGAGATATGCAAGGCTTGGAAAGTTTATTCCCCAAGTTTCTCTCAAGGTCCACATTTGTTATATGGTTAAGCAATTGACTTGTCTTAAATTCAGAATATTGGATTTAAGCTTAATTTTAACCCTAACTGATTCTTTCCAACAATGTAATTTACTGAAGGTCAGTGTTAAATATCGTTAGAAAAAGTCAGGACTTTTTTGAATCAAACAGACTTGGATTTAAAAATCCCAAGTTTAGATTTTGTTAATTACAGAAGCTAAGATTTTCCTTTGCAATTCAGTTTCCATACCTGTAAATTATGGATTATACAACCTACCAAGAATTGTTTCAAGATTATATCAGATAAGCTTCATATACTGCGTGGTGTGTGGTATGCTGCATCACAGATAAGTAGTTAAGTATTAATATACTTTCTGTTTCCTGCTCCTATACCATCCAAAGGTCACTTTACATCTAAAATGGGAGAAATGTTTTTCTTTCATTTATAGGAAAAGCAAGATAAGTTTGAAAGACTTATCTGAGTTAGCACTATGATAAGTAAACTTGAAATCTTTATCAAGAAACAATTAGATAAATGGTTTCCAGACAATTTTAAGAAAGACTAGTTAATTTAATTATCTTCAAATTTACCAGTAAGGTATATACGTATATATTTAATTATCATTCATGCTGTATCACAAGAAGGATTGGTGTCATATACGTTTTCTAGATGAGGAAACTGAGGTGCTAAGAAGATGGGTCATTTGCTCAAGCTGAGCAGCTAATTGAGTCGGAACTACAACCCTGGCCTCTTCTTTCTGGTCTTATTCTTTATACCAGGACCTCATGCTGACAGGAAGGTCAGATGTAGTCATTTATAATTGCCCTTATCTTCACAATGGCCACCCCTAGTTTTTCATACTCTAAAAACCAGTTTTACATACCTATGTTATCTGTGGTGAATGACTTCCTTCCCCCTTTTAAATAAACATCATCCACTTATAGCAACAAGGTGAGGACAAATAGACAGAAAAGCAACATTTAGAGAAAGTGACACTTCTGTCTGTGCCCTGAGGCTCAGAATCCAGGGGTCCTATCAGAATGAGTAGAAATCTGAACAGAATAAAAAACACTAAAATCGATGTGTATGTACTCTCTGTTAATTTTCACTTCACTGGAAATAAAGTAGCAGGTGTAATTTGCTCTAATCACATGCTTTCCATGAAAATCCACATTTTCAAAATAAGTTATTCAAAAAATCACACAAGAAATCACTTGGGGGATGCCTTAAGATACAAAACATTTCATTCCATTGATATAGTAACTTTTCTAAAATTCAGTTTATATCATTTCAGGGTTGTATCTTTTATGTGCTTTACTTAGAGTGTTTGCTTCATATGAAATAAAAAATTTCTTTTACCTTGGCTTGGCACTCAAACTTATAGCAAGCATATCTTATCCCATGCTTGCTTTATCTATTTCTTCATTCCTTGGGAGGAGGAAAGTATTTTAAAGTCCACGACATGGTTGTTTTTCACCCCTGATTACATCATTGCATATACTAAAGGGAAAAAGACTTGAAAATAAAACTGCAATAAAGTTATCACACCTTCCATCATTAACAATAGTTCTAATTCCTGATTCTTCTTAATTTTCTATCTAATGTTTATATTTTGAAGGAATTGAAAATGCCTTATTCATCTCCATCACAGTGTCCCGTATAATATCTGGGACAATAAATCTTTATAAAATTAAAATAACACAGAGCATTTGGTTGAATCGTCATAGCATCCCTGTGAAGTAAGGCCAGCATTGTTATCTCTGCTTCGTTGGCGTAGAAATGGAGCCTCCCAACACCGCACAGTGAAGTCAAGGCACATCCCACCCAGTATTCTCTATCGTAAGGACCAACAGTTTTTTCTGTCTGCCACTTAGATTATTTTGGTCCTAAATTTGAGGATTTAAAGGGCCATCTGGCTTAGCATTTAGTTATACAACAGAAAAATGAGGCAAACACACCAAGATATAACCAACCCTTAACATTCATCCCTGTTAATCAGAGTTTAAGGATAGAGGCCTTGGCAAGACAGGTCATTTTCTGCATGGTACGCTTAAGTTTCTTAGATTATGTGGATGTTCTCAGTCTGTGCCTCAGAGTTTCCAAAGCTTCTTGCTACAAGACTTTGTAATTTTAGCCAAACAGATTCCAATAAGAATGTGTATCCCTGAATCACTTCTGTTGGACCTAGGCTATCAGAGTTTGTTCCCTTTTGGACCAAAGAGTGACTTTTTGCCCTGGTTTTCTTCATATGGGCTTCTGCTGATTAAAGATGATGAGATTTCCATCCACCTCACTTGAGACAAGATTGCCAGTTTAGAGGAATGAAATTCAGAACGTTTTTCTTTGTGTTCATCAAAATAACTGTGTTCACACAGGGAAAAAAGATAGTGTGTTAGATGTAATTTCCATGAATTTTGTTCAGTGCATTGATCCAGGGTTGTTTGATATTGCATTTGCAGGAATTCTTTCACAGAGGATGGAAACATTAAAAAGCCACGAGTACCATTTGATGCAACTGAAAATAAAAAAGGTAAAAGATGTCCTCTTGTTTCTTTCAACATGAAAATAAGTATTGTTTGGCCAAAATCATAAAAAATGTTTAGCTTTATTAGCAGTCAAAAATGAAAACTAGACTGGGAAATGCTGTTTTCCCCTCAAATGTGGAGAGATTTTTTTTCCTCTTAAAGATAATAGAGCTGGGGAGAGTGTAGGGTGGTATACACCACCCATCGCTGGTGGATGTATAAATCAGAGCAATCTTTCTTAAGGGACCTTTTAACAACATGTAAGAAAAGCTTTAGAAGTTATTCATATATGCCATAAATTTCACTCTTAGATACTGATCTTAAGGAAATAATTAAGAATGTACACAAAAATTTAATTGCATAAATTATAAAGGAAAAAATAACAACTACCATTATTGCAGTAATAGTGGAATGGATTAAGCTATTTGTTGTTATTCACAACAGAGACACTAAGTCATTCCGTCTCTGCAACCCCACGAACTGCAGCCGACCAGGCTCCTCTGTCTTCCACTGTGTCTCAGAGTTTGCTCAAAGTCATGTCCACTGAGTCAGTGAAGTTATCTATCCATCTCATAGTCATCCAATAAAATATAAATCCACCCTAATATTATAGGAAAATGTTTATACATGAAAGATGTTTAAGATATATTATTCAATGAAACATTTGACTACATGCCACATGGACCTCAAGGAAAATTAATAGTGACTTTGATTTTCTCTTTTAGTCTTACCTCTGTTTCTTATATTTTTTCTTCTAAAAAAATCTGAGCTTTTTGTCACATGAAAAGAAAATATTTATAATTTTAAGAAGATGAAAAGTATACATGTCTAAATTAAAAAAAAAAAAATCAAAGTTTTCCTATTACAAATCAAGGTTTAATCCAATACAGTGGTTTTGAGTGTATGGCTCCTAGACCAACAACTTGAGCATCATCTGGAAAGCTTGGAAAGTTCAGATCTCCTGGACCAGAATCTCTGGGTTTAAGGCCCAGTATTCTATATTTTAACAAGCCCTTTAGATGATTCTGAGGCACAGTAGAGATTAAGAATCACTGACTTAATAAAATGAAGCACTATGCTCAGGGAAGAACTGATGCTGAACTACTCTTCTCTCTCCCACCATTTTTTTATTCTTTAAATGATTGCTTTGAGCACTCTGAGTGTTCTTATTTTATCCCATCAATCTCTGTTTAGGAGTTTTTTAGATAAATGTTTGGTTGAATTCAGAAACTTAGAGTAAATGTCAGTGGAACCAACTAGTGGAATTTATGTGATTCTAGTGATTTGGGAAGTTACAGTCATAAGATCATAATAGAACAAGAGAAATTTTGATAGATCACCTTCAGGCAATGAGTGGCATTTAGACCATTCATTTTTCTCTCTTAATATTTTCTTATGTGAACTAATCATTTTTCTGTTATTTTTTTACCTAATCACTTCTTTGGTCTTACCATAGCTTTCAGTTGAACTTATAAGTGCTTTCTGATATAATAATGATTAAATAATAAAATGTTTCATTCAGTTAACCTGTGTTTCAGATACCTGGATATGTATTTTCTGTATTTGAATTAATAATTTCCTTTTTAAATGTACATTTCTTTTTTTAGCTGTGGTTCCACAAATTATGAATGAAACCAAAGAAATACATTGCCATAATGGTGAGTTCCAATGAAAGTATTTGAGAATCATAATCAATAGTTAGGAATAACTCTGCTTTGCATAAATTATCATGTTTGGAGATCATTAGGCTGATAATGTATTTTGTGTAAATTTTCAGAAGTTGTGAGTTTTCCAAATGAGTCAGTATGTGTTACTTTTGCATAATTTTTTTTTACTTTCCATTTTTTAAAATGAAATATTATATTGTATCTTTGCTTATTTAAGAACAGTAACTTCCAAACTTATTTTGAGGGGCCCAAACAGTGCTAATACTTTGCTCTGGGGACCACTTAAATGGAAGAGCTTGACATCTTCTCTGTGTATTGATTTTTAGGACTGTCACCATCCAACAGTGATTTGTTTCTGTCAGATTGTTGATGCAATGGATAGCACTTAAGTGTGGTTTTCTTTATAACAATTAAAAATTTTTAAGCCAAATTTCAATTTATTTTTTCTTAAAATTCATGAATTTCTTTTATCAAGGTATAATCAGTAATATAAATACATTTTGTAATGAGCTCTTTCAGGTGGCTCAGATGGTAAAGAGTCTGCCTGCAATGCAGGAGGCCTGGGTTAGATCCCTGAGTTGGGGAGATTCCCTGGAGAAGAAAATGGCAACCCTCTCTAGTATTCTTGCCTGGAAAATCCCATGGATGGAGAAGCCTGGAGGGCAACAGTCTATAAGATTGCAGAGTTGGACACGACTGAAGCAACTTAGCACACATGCATATATAAAAACATACACTGAAAATTTAGCCTTTCACAAAATAACTATTCTGATAAATCATTAAAGGTGAAAGCAATAAAATTTATGGGCCAAGGTCTAATTTATTATAAATAAAAGTATTCCAATTCAATTTGTCTCTTCTAAAATGCAATTATGTTTTAATGCTTTCATTAAAATCAGTATAGGCTGAGAGGTGATACAAAATGTGGTTTAACAGAATCAACAAGCTTTTTAAAGGAAAAATACCATTTTGAATAAAGTACTGCTAACCAAGAAAAAGTAACAGGTATTACTTACACCATTCCCTCTCTGCATTTACCATCCAATCTCCCACTTCTAGAAAAGTACATACTACTCAGTTCTCTTGGGAGACTGGTTGGTACCTGGTGTGTGGTGGGGAAAGGACTAGTTTTGAGAAAACTATGAGCAAGATTAAAATAAACATTTGTCGAGGGTCTAGTGTGCCAGGCTCTGGGATAGATCAGGAAAGCCACTCCCCCTCTTTGGTTTTTGTTTCCTCATTTATGAAGTGGAAAAACGATACAAGATAATTTCATTTTTTTCTCAATTCCCAGGTAACATAGGGTAGAGGATGTGAACATGTTAAACACTTGAACTTTGCTCAGATTTCTGTGTTGCTCAAAAACTAGTCATACCTGTGACTTCAAAATTAATCTTCCTACTTTTATTTAAGATTAAAAAAATAACTCAATGATGCTTTAGAACAGGTGGGATTATCTTTCAGTGTCTAGGCTGTTTTTGTGTTTAATTTGAGTTACGATTATCCCTCAAGAGGGTAACAAAATTCTGCGGTTAAAAGGCATCCATTAAAAGCAACCAAGACTTCAAACAGCTTTCCCATAAATACTTGCCAAATGCGTTCAGCAGCTTGCTCCCACCTTGCCTCACGCTGGGTTCTCTGCAGAGCTAAGGTAAGCTGGCTTGAGACAAGTTGGGACTGGATTGGGAAGAATGCCAAGGAACCACCAGGTGTTTGTAGGCAGCAACATTGATGATTCAGTTGAAGATGATGTCAGGATGAAATCAGCTTTCAAGCAGGGGTCTAGGATGCAGCGCTTAAGCCAGAGGTGAAGAGTTTCTGATGAAACCAAAAACAAGCACTTGCTGAAGAAAATGATTTCTTGCATAAGAAAATGATTACTCAGTTTCTCTCTTCTAGGTCTGATTTTCAGTGTTGAAATGGGCAGAGTGTTTAGTCACTCAGCTGTGTCTGATTCTTTGTGACCCCATGGACTATATAGCCCATCAGGTTCCTCTGTCCATGGGGATTCTCCAGGCGAGAATACTGGAGTGGTTTGCCATGCCCTATTCCAGGAGAACTTCCCAACCCAGGGACTGAACCTGAGTCTTCTGCATTGCAGGCAGATTCTTTACTATCTGAGCCACCATGAGCAGGCCCCATTGAAAATGTTCACTATTAAGTCAAAGTATTAACTACAGGGAAATTAACTCTCACTATTTTATTAAAATATATAAAATTAAAGTACATTTCCTATGATTACTATTTTGAAAAAAATTCTTCCACTTTGTTATTCAGCTATCTGGTTTCAAGAATAAAAGTATAGCATGTGTATTTATATTCCTTTTCTGCCTAGGAAATGGTAATCTTGAAAGCACATTCCATATCCTTGAACTCTAACTTGTTTGAAGTGTTAGGTTGGGTTCACAGTCTCCAACTGAATCACCAAAAAGATCTCATCACCAAAAAAAGCCTGTTTTTACTGTATTTATCTCAGTGCCTTGAACATAGAGTATGCCAGGAAAAAACAATCTGATGAAAAAAATGAATGTCTTTTTAATAAGTGTTTGAATTTGAATGAAAAGCTATGGTCCTTTTCAAGATGAAATCTAATAACACAATCTCACCCTTATGCTTTCATTTTTTTTTCTCCTTTATTATAAAACACTTTAGGAGCTAGTAGGATCATTGAAATTATAGATGCAATCTACCTTCATCACCCAGATACAATCTTTGTTAACAAGTAAAATCAATCAAGCAAGTATGTACTGAATTCACTGAGTTACTGAACCAAATTGCCTAGTTATTTTTATTGGCTTTTTCCCTACAATGAAGTTACAATGTATGTACTGCATTATTATTCCTAATTTGTACCGCAGTAGTTGTTTCTTCCTGAGAAAGAAACAAGTTCTCTTTGTACCTGAGTAGTCGTAATATTATTCCTAATTTGTACCTGAGTAGCTTTTTCACATTCTTTGCTCCACCCTACTGCCTGTAAACTACATATCAATCCAATGGCAGGTTAATGACACTTCCCCTCAAGTAGTTCTTTTTTCTTTCTTCCTTTTCTTCCAGTTGAGAAAACAATCATAGAATGTGAGTGAAATTTATTTGCTTTCATCATTTTAAGGGTGTGATGGGAGTTAAGCTGATACCTAGTTCTCAGATGTAGAATAAAACACCTATAAGTTTGGTGGTATATCTATGTCCTTGTCTGAAAAAGAAATATAAAAATTTTCATGTTGTTAAATCACAAAGTCTAGAATATGATGGGAAATGAGAAGCATCAGCCAAGGAATGGTTAGGAAATGCCTTGTAAGCTATATTGGGGGCTTGGTCTAGATTATGGAGGTGATGAGAAAATGCTAAAGAGCTGAAGACAAATCATTAGATTTGATTTCAGAGAAATCGTGTGATAGCTATATAACAATAAAGGAAGAGACAGCAGTTAATAGAATAATAGACATTTTCTTTAAGTTCAGGTATATAGCTTCCTGTGGCAAATTTGGTGTTATATTTTATGTTGCTATGTTGTTAAATATCATTGAACATCTTATTTAAAGGCAACATCAGACATTTTCATTATACTGATTTTTATAGAATGTCTTATGTTTATTTTTACTGAAATTTTTTGACTATTGAAAAATATTTCTGGTACAAAAAAACTTGTTAATATTTTCATTTGAAAAACACTTGCTTTTGAGTAATTTATTTCAAATATGAACACAATATATTTAGTTCAGCGGTGGCTGGTCTATTTGCCTGTGTGCTGCGTGCTTAGTCGCTTCAGTCATGTCCGACTCTCTGCGACTCCATGGACCATGGCCTGCCAGGCTCCTCTGTCCATGGAATTCTCCAGGCAAGAATACTGGAGTGGGTTGCCATTTCCTATATATATTTTTTTCCTCACTAAGATACTTTTGTAAAAGTTGAGCTCTTAAAAAATAGAAACGCTTAAAGAATGACTTAGAATCAATGATATGAAGTAATACTTGTTCATGCATGCGTGCGAAGTTGCTTCATTCGTGTCCAACTCTTTGGACTGTATGTATGAACTGTAGCCTGCCAAGTTCCTCTGTCCATGGGATTTCCAGGCAAGAATACTGGAGTGGGTTGCCATGCCCTCCTTCAGGGCATCTTCCCAACCCATGGCTCGAACCCACGTCTCTTACATCTCCTATGTTGGCAGGTGGATATTTACTACTAGCCCCTCCTGGGAAGCCCATGAAGTAATACAGTAGGTTCTGTAACAACTGAGCAGAGAATAGCACTTTGCTTCTCTCTAAAGCACTATTTTAGGGCACTTAGGCTAAGGTAGCCTGAGTGTGAAGGGGTTTTCATGTCTAAGTGTGTAGCATGATATTAGATTTCACGTTCTTTGCTCCACGCTACTGCTTCTGAGCTACGCATCAATCCAGTGACAGTTTAATGACACGCCCATCAAGAAATTTTCCTTATTCCCTGGTGGTACCCTTCTGTTACCCACAGAGTCATCTCCCTGCGTTTACACAGTTGCTAGATGCTATAAATGCTATGAAATGTTACCAATCCACTGGAGAGACATTTTCTGACCTTCTGTGCCTTTAAATTTGTAAAGGCTGAGAAAAAATATCAACTAAAGCCAACAACAGTTACATGAGGCAAAGTCTACAAAATCTGGCAAATAGAAGATCCAGGTAGAGCCACAAATCAGCTATGACCAGAGTACCAAATGGAAAATCAGCAGCAATTACCAAAGCCATGAAAAAGAATTTTCAAAACCTTAATCATATTTGACTTTTAAACATTCATTCATGCCATAGTTGTGTTTTGTCATTGTTTTTGTTTTTTTAAACAGATAAAGATGCACAATGTCATGTCAAGCAGATCTTCACACATCCACGTTTGGAACTAAATCCTGAATTTAACCCGCAGATCAAAGATTATTACTCTGAAGTCCCATTTGATGCGGTTACAGTGACCATTGGAGCAGAGGCTTCTAAGTGTCAGTGCAAGGTGCACCTGCAGGAACGGGCAGGACCAAGGTGAGGGCATTGACCTTTTAACTGAGGGTAGACCTCTTAGCAGGAGCAGGCCTTGGAGACAGCTCTTGAAGATGGTTCAAAAGACCTGAGGCACAAGATCTGCTGGAGGATTGTCAGGGAGTGAAATCCTTCTGCTTCACAGATGCCATGTGGTTAGAATAACACACAAGTGCTCTGCTGATCTACTAACAATGTTCGTGTTTAATCTTTCTAACAATGTTGTAATGACAGAAGATCTTGTGATATGAAATATTAAAGAAGATTCACTGAGGGAAAACTGAGTTTATTCTTAGCTTCATGTTTTTAGATTGTTGAAGAATTAATCCTTCCTAACAGTAGCCTCCTTCTATCCCAGCCCAACTCCTCGAGTTTTTCAATATTCAAGTGCTGATTACTTGATGAACGCATTAGTGACAATTTTTGGACATGGTAACACTAACTTTCCTAGTCTCATGAGATTTTTTTCCTAATGACTCTTCTGAGAGTCACCAACTCTTTGGTTTATCATTTGAACAGATGATAGAACCTTACGACATGCCATGTCCATGACAAGAAACATACTCATTTTCCCATGCTGTAGGGAAAGAAATGTATTTAACATTCCTGGGAGCTAAAACAGTGTAATAGAAAGAAAAAAGGATTCAAGTCAGACCAACCTGGGTCCTAACCCTGACTCTACCTTACTCTACTATATTTAAAATGGGGATAGCCTTAGTTTTTGTATGGATTTGTGAGTATTAAATGGGATAATGTATGTCCTTGACAGGTGGTTAATAAATATTAGTTCCCTTCCCTGTAATTGGTAGGGGACTTGACTTGCTCTGCTAGATAAATGTTGGCATACCAAAGCACAATGAAACACAAGTTAAAATATTTCACATTTTAGATTTCTTAATGAAACGGTGCAGATCTTCTCTGTTTTTAATGCAAATTATTGACACAGTAAATATTGATATATGAATCAATTTGGATTCTCTCTCTCATTCTCACTCTTGCTTTTGTGCTCTCTCTCCAGCTTTGCCAACTACCCTCTGGGTTTAGGGATGAACAAAATCTCAGTGCTTGTGGTGGATGAATCTCTAACTCAGGGTGAGACCTTGACCACGTACAAACTTACCATCTATAGAGAAGACCGTCCAAGTCTGCCCTTGTTTGAGGACTTCACAGCGTGTGGATTTGTGCAGGTAAGTGGATTTTACATTTACACATGGGTTGAATTGGGCGTGATCCTTTTACCCAGGTGAGAAAAGGTCAAATGAAAATTAATAGGGGAGAAAAATGTATGCCTTCAAATCCAAGCAGCTGTGGCCTCATTTCAAGAAAGAGTCCCAGCCAGGTATCTAAGACACCTTTTTTATGAGTGATTTTCTTTTAAATGTGGTGGCTATTCCCTGCACTGAGAGTGTGCAGTGGATTTATTGTGGTTAATATTAAAAAAAAGTCTGAGTGCTGACGCTTAGTTGTGAAATTGGTTTTACATTTCCTTTTTAAATTGTGCTGTGTTTCTTGGATTTCTCCCTGGAACTACTTTGAAATTTTAAACTAGATTCAGTGGAATTTGTTTTAAAGAATGAGAGGAAAATTTATGAAACTATTTTACGAAAGGGATACCAGATGAATGAAATTAAATTTTCTTGAGTAGATATATTTCTTCTTCACTTCTTGTACCTTCGTTTCTAAAGGCTGCAATTGCTCCTGTGAGCAGCACATACCATTTTGTAGCCCTGTTGACTTTGGAGGAGGGTGCACATTACCCAGAGACTTTGTCTTATTTGGTGGTTCTTTCCTCAGTTTTCCTTTTTTAGGAATCTATGTATAACCTTCTATATTTGCTTACATCATATACCTGGCTACAAGTGATTCCAGGGAAGTCATCATTGATACTCTTACCTTATGTTCTAATCCACTTAGAATAATTGCAACTATGTCTCATCTCAGTGATTGATATGCTAGTGGGAGCATGAAGCATAGTCAGTTAATAAGAGAAAAATGGCCAAATGGGCCTGAGTGAGTAGGATGGATACCGTATTTTCTTAAATGTAGGGGAGATATGGAGCATTCTTTCTCCCCCTCTACCCACCACCACAATTTCATCTCTTCTCAAGAATTTAACATGGGAATTCCCTGGCAGTCCATCAGATAGGATCCCACACTTTCACTGCTCAGGGGCCAGGTTCAATACCTGGTTGGAGAACTAGGATCCCACAAACTACGTGATGTGGTCTAAAACAAAAATAGCAAAAAGAATTTAACACTACTTTGTGAGGGTACTCATTGCTGAGATTTTTGTTTTTCGAGAAAATATATACCTGTGATGTATGAACTACTAGCAACTCAAAGGGAATTTCACAACAGTATAAAGATTGGTCTAAAGCAGGACAGAACTAGTATTCTGAAAGATATTAGTAGGTATACTTAAAAAAAAGATGGGAAAGAGTAGTGTTGCATGGTTATGAAGCAGTGGGTTAAACAAAATAAAGTAGGTTTCTTGGCTGTAGGACTTCCCCGAACATTTCATGTGCTTATTTAAATATATTTAAATATGGTCCTCTTCGAAAGAAGGATATGTAGTGTCCAGTATTTTCAAACTTTTTTGACGTCTTTTTAATGCGCTAGCTATTAATATTCTTCTGTGGAACACAGTTGAGGAAACACAGGTCTAGACTCTGGAGAAGACTTCAAGGTTAGGTTCCTTTCAGTTATCTACTTTTCATTTTGTGTTATAGGGTTGCTATTCCTCAGTCTTTTTCCAACTGGGAAAACAAATAATAGAACCACACCAAAAATGTTCTTGAGGGAGGAAACCAAAACCTAGAGGGAGGTGTGTTTTTGTCTAAGGATGTGTATGCGGTGTGTGTGTAGTTATTTCCAAACTAAATATTCTCACCTTCTTTGGTGTGTGACTCTATTTTTTGTTTTTCCTTATCTCACTCTCATATTTTAGATAGAAACTAACTCTTTGGATAAATCATCTTTGAAGGAAAGCTAATAGTATGAATTATATTTTTCCAGAATATTTATGGTTACAAACAATAGTTATTTTCACTTTAAAAAGTGAATTTATTTCATTTTAATGTAGATTTTAATTTTTATAAGTCTCTATGGGTGACTACATTTTTATTGGTTAGTAAACTTGACTTTTATATGGAGTAAATATATAATAAAAGTTGGAAAGGAAAATAAAAGTTCTACATTAAGGCATGAAAAAATGTGTTTTTACTTTTCATTTGTCACCAGTTAGGTTTGTACTGTTGAATTTTTGCTGTATCTTTTGAAATGTAATTGATACCCACAAGTATTAGCATAGATTTATATTTTGATTCCACTCTAAACTTAAAACATGGTAAATGACTCATTCATGACTCTGCAATATGCTAAACCCATTTAATGGGTATTAGATTAATATGAAAAATTTTCAATTTCTAAGTGTTCATAAAAATGTAAAATCCTTATGCTGGATATTTTAATATGAACACGGATTTCAGGAGTATATATTCCTTCCTGGCTATCATTTGGAGAGCCCTTAAACGTTTAATTGTAATTATGTACATGATGAACATCTAGAGAAATGTCAGTAAGGATGGAGATGATCCCATGAGTAGAAGGGACACTGTAGAGCCGAAATCTCCATTATTTTCTCATTTATCTCTGGTTTATCCTTTGTTCTTCTTATGACACTATTCTGGTTCCGTTCTTGTTACTTGTTGACTCAGATTCTAAAATAGTCCCTAGCTTTGTTTGCTCATATCTGTCTGACTCTTTTCCAGTTCAGTTTTTACAAGCTTGATCTTCATCAGCTTAAAGCACACTCTGTCATAAGCGTTGCCAAAAATGCTCCAAGCCCCACTCCCGTGGTCGTTCACTTCCCTCATGTTAGTCCACATGTTTTTTCAGCCTCATGTCTTATTAGTTGTCAGTGTATTTTGTGCTTCTTCTAACCTGGCCTGTTTACCATTCTCCAGACATGCTTCCCAATCCTGTGACACTGGGGCTGTCCCTCCCACTGGAAACTAAAAAGAGTTTATTTGATGTCACTCCAGAAGCTGTTAACTCAGATTCCAGTGTAGGAGTTTTGATCCACGTTGTATAAAAGAGTTCTTTAAAGGTCAAAACTGCCCCCAAATAGATTCTATTGACTGTCATTTATTATGTGCGAGGCTGTGTCCTAAATGCTTTACTTTGGTTGTAGTCTCTTTAATCCTTACAGCATCCTATTGGATTGAAATCTACTCTTAGCCCTCAGTTTCAGAGAAGAAGCCCCAAAGATCATAGACATTAAAGATATTGCCCAAGGTCACACAGCTAGTGAGTGGTGGGGCTTGGATTCAGATCCAAGTGTGCCTGATCCCAAAGACCATGTTATATTACATTGCCTTATGGCAGAATGGGGTCTCTTGCTGTAGGGACTTTTCTGACCCAGGAGGCATTCAAGTATCAGCTGGAAATCCATCTCTCAAGGAGAAGAGGAATTGGATTAGATGCTTTTTAAGTTTCCCTTGGGTTTCCTTGTTTCCTAGACGTTAATAAAATAAGACATCTCATTGACCCTTGGTGTATTGCAAAGCCCTGTGATTAAAGTGCACTGCTGTTGAGGTGGTCTCGTGCCAAGGTGGGCAGACTCAGTGAGGGTGGGGTATGGGGGGCTGTGGGAGGAGAACACTCGCAGCCTTTGCCTACACTGCCGGCTCAGCTCCCTACCCTGCAACTGCCGACTGCCATGTCTTTTGCTGAGGAGCAGACCTGTCCATACTGACTCCAGTGAGGATACAGACCCCTGGAGCTTGCCCATTCTCCCATTGCCCAATTCCAGTTGTCTAGTCAGATAGGCATTAGGCCTTGCTAACATTGGCATGAACTCTCCTCCTCAGCCCAAAGAGAAAGAATAAACTAGCAGAGGAGGTGCTGCCGTCCTCCAGAAGTTCGTATTGATCTGGTCAGTTGGCAGGAAGAACCACCCTGAGGAGGATGGTGAAGAGAAGCCCCTTTTACACAAACCAGGAATACTTAGCTGGGATGAGTGAGGGTAAAAGGCAACAGTGGAGCTTGGCAGCCAGACCGCTGGGTAACCTCTTGGTTGGTTGGTGCCAGCTGAGTTTTTTTTCCCTCACATTTGCAGCTCTCCTGAGCTAAGGGGTTCAAGAAAGTGGTCTGAAAATGAGGCTGACTTGGAAAGGCACTTACTAAGAGTAGGATAACCCAGTGGACAAGAAATATATGAAAAGATGGTCATCCCCATCAGTCATCAGGAGATTGTAGATCAAAATGATAAGGACATACCACTACACACACACTGCAGTGAAAAACACTAGAAGTACTAATGATACAAAGTGTTGGAGAAGATGTGGAACAATTTTTTGTTCATACACTGCTGGGAATATAAAGTGTTTGCCTGTTTTGGAAACATTTAGTAGTATTACTATAGTTAACATATATATACCTTATGACACAGCAATGCTACTAGCTACATACCCAAGATAAATGAAGTCATAGGTCCATCAAAAGGTATATCCAAGAAATCTATTTTTTTTTTTTTACTTTTAAAGCATTTTATTTTTTAGAGTGGTTTTAAGTTTACAATAAATGAGAAGAAGGTATAGAAATTACCCATTTATCTCCAGCTTCACATATATATGGCCTGTTATCAACATCACACATCAGATTGGTAAATTTTTTTACCAGGGACACACCTACACTGGTTCATCATAATCATGAAAAGTCCATAGTTTACCTTAGGGTTTGTTCCTTATGTTGTGCATTCTGTGGGTTTGGACAAATGTATAATGACACATATACAACATTATGAAATCATACAAAGGATTTTCATTGTCCTGAAAGTCTTCTGTGCTCCACCTACTCATCTCCCCAACTGCCCACCAGCTCCTGCCAGTCCTAATTTTGTTTTCTCTCTGTGTGGGCGTGCTTAGTCGCTTCAGTCATGTCCGACTCTCTGCGACCCTATGGACCATGGCCTGCCAAGCTCCTCTGTCCATGGGATTCTCCAGGCAAGAATACTGAGTGCCATTTTCTTCTCCTCATTCTCTCTGTAGCTTTACCTTTTTTAGGATGTCATACTGTTGGAATCACACAGCAGTAGCCTTCTTAGACTGGCTTCTTTCACTTAGTAATGTGCATTTAAGTTTCCTCCATGTCCTTTTATGGCTTGATAACTCATTTCTTTTAAGCA